TTGCGGAAAATTCCTATTTTCCTGTGTCCAAACGTCATTTTGAGCTCTTTAGAAAAATGATCTCATAGTTCACTAAGCTTTCATCGAAAGGAAATGTTGGACACGTATTCCGAAAGAGCATCAAATTAACTAACTGGTTTTTGTTCTCAGAAGTCGTTTCTAAGTGACCTAAAAATGGATGAACATTTTGTACGAAGACTTTTTAGACAAAGGTTACATTAAGTCACACTAAATAGATACTCACACAACGCGCGTCTGAACGAATTTGCAGAAAAAGCAGCAATAATCTTTCGTGGCAAAACGTTCCAGTCTGATACAGTTTTTGGTATAAAAGATGATGAGGTGTTTTTACGTTTAAGTTTTAGAATTTGCCAAAGACATCTATTGGATGTTCTAGCAGATGTTCGAGTAGCTAGAGGTTTTATTAGAGAAAAAGAGCTGAGTGCTGTGCGTCCTGTAATGAGTTTATGAAAAAAAGTTAATCTGAAGTATTTTCGCGCTTTGTGTAACGTTTTTAACAAAACACTATGACTAACACGATCAAATGCTTTGGCGAAATCGAAGGCTACACCAATTGCAACTTTCTTCTGTTCCAAAATTTCTGATAATTTAATTGTTATATGCAACAATGCATCTGTTGTTAACGATTTAGGACGAAATCCGAATTCCATTGCGAAAAAACTTCTGTTTTATTGAGATGTTGCAAAAGAGATTTGTGTACTAACATTTCAAATACTTTACTAATGTTGAATAACAGTGAAATCGGTCGATAATTCTCACACATAATACGTGATTCTTTTTTCTGTATAGCTCTTATAATGGCTTTCTTCCAGATAGTAGGAAACAGTCCTTGCTGAATAGACAGTTGAAATAAATGATGGAGTTGTGGTGTTATAACATTAGAACACAGTTTCAAAAATTTTATGTTAATATCATCAATTCCTACAGAATTTTTGTTTTTTAATTGATTAATCATATTGCACACATCGCTAACTGAAAATGGAACTGTATCTAAACAAGGACTGGATTGCGAATTAGTAGAAACAATGTTAGTAGCTGTGGCATTAGCAGATGAATGATAACAACTGGCAAAAAACTCTGAGAACATTTCTGTTTTGTCACTGTCTGTACATGCATGATTACTTCCAACTTCCAAACGACTTGGGTAGTCCGCAAAAGTCTTCCTAAATTTATTTAAAAGACAGATATGCCATTTGCAACTGAAATTTAAAAACGTGAAAAGCCCCTTACTAAACCTTTTACAGGGTTCAGGAAACTGCAAATATACGGAACTTAAAAAGGGTTAAGTAAGGGTCAAAAGCTCCTTACTAAACCTTTTAAAGGGTTCCGTATATTTACAGTTTCCGAACCCTCTTTAGGTTTTTTAAAATGCCTATTTTTTTTAGAGAGTAGGCATGCACCGATTACTAATCGACGTTAGGACATTCGGCAAAATTGTTCCGAATCAGTTATAAAAAGCACCTAGAGCTGCCGAATCCTTCAGTAGGAAAATGCTTGCTCTACCAAACTGAAGTGCTAGAAAAATTTTAATGTTACATATTGAGAAAGCATAATAAATCGAAAGCTGATTGAAAGCGTAGAAAAATAATCGATAGTCGCGTACTATTGTGCAATTTTGCTCAGTTTTGGATGCTTACATTTCTGTCACAGATAAACTAAAATGCCCTTTTCACTTCAGTTTGGTAGAGCAAACATTTTCCTACAAAACTAGACATTCGGCAGCTCTAAATGCTTTTTTACAACTGATTCGGGATGACTCTGCTGAACGCCGTAACAAGGATTATTAATCGGTGCCTGAATAATCCCGATCAGAATACGTTTTTATATCCCAATTGGGATATATATCCCGATCGGGATGTGCTTCCTCACATTTTTATGAAGACAAATGATATTAAGGTTAAAAGTGTGGAATCCGATATTACCCAATATTATTATACGATAGTATCGAGTGACCAATAATACCATTATATTGTATACCCGTTATATTGGGTATACAATAATATTGACACCCAAAATTATTGAATCGCCAATAATCTTGCACAATATCGTTGATAATGATTGGTATCGGTGCATGTCTCTAGCCTCTAGTCGCGTGTTTTCATCAGAAGGTGATACATTTCGAAAAATCAGTTTTCATATGAAGTCGAAACAGATTTGGCTGGATATTTTTTGCACCCGTGAGCAAATTTTGGACTTTTTCCATTTTTCACCATGCCGGACTTCCGACAATACTCTAATGTTGTTTTGTAGACTTGAAAAATTACGTTTAGTGAATGTGAAATATAATCGAAGTCTACGAAACAACGTTAGATTATTATTCTACCAGTCAGTATGAGTGAGAGATGTGATCTGTGTTATTATGTCAACTTTTAAGATAACAATTGCTATATAATAATTTATATTTGAATATGAATGTAAATAATTAAAATAATATGAAAATATTTCATGTGTTGTAGTAGACGAAACTTGAAATATATTTTTCTCATCTAGTAATATTTTGTTTATACGCTTATTTATGTTAAATAACGAATAATACTTATTGATAAACGATAAATTATCTCTGTGAAAATTTTTATTCGGGAAACTTTCAAAAGTTAATACTAGATTTTCATATAAAGCGAAACGAATCTTTTTTGGACTAAACAAAGTTAATGAAACAACACCATATCTTGTGCTCATATTGTCTTATCCTAGAACTAGTAATATATTATTGCATCGGTAGCTTACTACACAACACAACTGTATATGTAACTTGATTTACTTCCTTCTTGTTTTTATTTTTTTGTTTTTTAGAAAAATAGTTGGCAAAACCGCCTCAATAAGTTTCTGATATTTTTTTTAGTGAATGAATGCACTTTTTTTGCATTACACTTCAAAGCGTACTGCAAACGAGGAAAATGTAAATCGTAGAATATTTCAGTGTTTCCTTGTTGGTAGCAAAAATACTCGGTTTTTTCATACGAATTACAAAATAACAGAGAAATTCCAGTGTCACACCTGAATTGTTATTTTGTTCCTTTCTGTTCTTAGATCAAGGGACTTTTAACATGCCGTTAAGTACAATTAAGTAATCAGAGTACAATTGAAAAATTGTACTCTGTTGTTATTGCCGTCAGCAACAATTAAATTCTGAAGTGAATCGAATGCCAAAGCTTGATTTATATTAAACCGGTTTGCTCCGGTACCCGTGGCACCTGTTGAAGATCCAAGAATTGTTGTACCATTCTTAGCTCCTGGCAGCCATTGTTGAACACGATTGTTGCCTGAAGAAGAAGAAAAGACACACACAACCCTAGTTCTTAGCCGTCATTTGTTTTCTACAAGAAAAAAAGCAGAGAATCGGCGATTTTATATATTTAGACTTTCGCACAGGGCATGGTCTTTTTTGTAAATTACATGCAAGTAAGTAAGTTTTGTGCAAACTCTCCTCCTCTATCAATGGAGCGATGGCGTTGCATTAACTGAGGTTTCGCGACAGCATCGAGCGCGCTACAGTCTAGGTGTCGGATAAAAAAGCTCAATACCAGCTTTTACGAGGGGCTTCGATTCTACGCCGAACCTAGCCATTACACCACGAAAGTACGAAGCGACGCGGTTTTCCAAGTTTTTGATCCTAAAAACTCACTCTGAAGATCGACTAAAACCATATTCATGACCAGCATTGAAAACTGGTAGTTGGTAACGCCGCACTAAACCTAAATTTTCGATGAAAACCGTTGCTGCCCCGACGCTGATCCAGTTCAAAAACATCGAAAAATCCATGTTGTATTCGAGCGTCACCAAGCACATGGTTCGATGCAGCTTTCATGGCTGATCCTAAGCAGGTGATAATTTCTCGATCTTCAAACTACGATTTTGAGCTCAAAAACGTCGAGCGTTCGGCTCGAAAAACAGTGTCACTCGCTGCTTTTGTGACTGAATTTTCGAGGTGTTCATGAGGTTCTGGAATATCGGTCTTCAGCTCATTTTGTTCAGAATTGTCTCATCCAAAAGATGCACTGGTCATCTATTGCGTATGCGTCAGTAGGGTTGAGAAAAGCTCGAAGTACTAAAAAGGTTTATGTTTTAAAGCACAAATCCACGCAAACATAAAGTACTGACGACGGCGCTTTTTAATAGGTTTTTCGAGTGACCTTTTCTGAAAATCTGTAACGTAGAAGGAAATTGGTCTGAAACTCTAACAGCTGTTTCCCTCCCATGGGTTTTGACGCAGAATCGAAGCCCCTTATAAAAAGTGGGTATTGAGTTGTTTCGTATAACACCAGTGTTCGATGTAGTGACAAAGCCTCTCATGAAAACACCATGTCTGTATCAAGTGCGGGTGCGAATTTCTTCTACTTACCGCCGTCAGAGATATACATAATTCCATTTCTATCAACAATTAAATCTCTTGGCAAATTCAATTTTTTTGAACTAATGCCACCTGCTGCCGTAATTCCGGCCACAACTGTCCCATTCGTACCACCTGTTGAATTTGATGGAAATCGAAGAATACGATGGTTCCCGTAATCAGCTACGTAAAGATACTCAGTTTGATAATCATAATAGACGCCAATTGGAGAATGTAATTGATTCAAACGACTACCCGCAGATCCATAAACGCCTGAAAATAGAAGTAAATCAGCTGATGGTCAAACTTTTAAATAAAATCTGTGTTACTCACCAGCAATAATGGTCTTGTCGATAGTACCATTGTTCTGTACCGAGATTTTATAGACAACGGAGGTATCAGTGGTTACGTATAAATCATTTGTTAATAGATCTATAAACAGACGTTTTGTTAATGTAAGATTTATAAATAAGATGCCCATTGTTGTTGAATTTGAATCTGATGGAAATTTTAATATCCAGTTGCATGAAAAGTCACTCACATACAGATACCCGTCGCTATCCATAACTATTCCGTAAATATCTTGGAATTGATTGTATGCACACCCATAGCCGTTCCCACCGGCGAAAATAGTACCACTTGTAGCACCGAGACTCCATTTAAGTATACGATTATTCCCATAGTCACCAATGTACATAACGCTTGACACTTTGTCATAGTACAGGGGATAGACAGTAGATAATAGATCTAGACCAGGGCCACTCATACCGGAGGAACTACCAGCTACGGTCACACCATATTGGTTCCAACCAACACAGTCTAAAGTTTATTAAGTGTACTGTCATTTCGACCAGACTCGAAAGAGTACCTTACACGGTACCAAGAAAAGCCATTGAACATTGAAATGTCGGATTTCGTTAAAAGCCTGTTTATCCCAAAGATTACGAAAGACGTTATAGAGTTCTAGATGGAAATTTTCTCTGACATTTTGTACAGTGTAAAATCTCTAGAAATTTTCTTGCAAACACGATTCTCGTGATTTAGAAAACGAATGTAAACTTGAAAATGAATTTCAGCCATTACAGGAGAACGACAACTTATTACAAAGTTTTTTGCTCTTGGCAAAACATTTCAGAAGAGTTTACCACGGAAGCATAATTGAAAAATATACATCGGTCTTTCGTCTCGGGTCGATGCAGCTTAGTAGGCGACTGCACGTCAACCTTCAGATAAACGGGAGTTGGCCTTCGACAGCAGATTTTGTAGACTCGTCCAGCATGACTGCAGCCACACAATCTGTTGTCGATGTTCGTGTCGAGTACAAACTCAGAAACTTTGAAAATTATATGAGCCCATGCAGTTTCGTATGCTCTTTCGAATGAGATATTGCTAAAACCTCTGCAATGTAAAATGAGGGAGAAAATCTGAAAACACTGGAGATGCCACCTTTAGACGATTTTGTAGTTAACTTTTTCTTAAATTTTGTAACTTATTGCGATTTTGGCCTCAAGAGTTTTTCATAACCTCCGCTTTAGCCGTAGAATCAAAGCCTCGTATAAAAAGTAAGGTTCAGCTAATGCAAAATTCAAGTGGAATTTTGTTTTGACTTTATTATACATATTCAGATTCAGTTTAACGAGCTGATTACGAATAACACCTTCCGAGCCTCCAAAAGTCATTTCTTCGTGG